TCACATTAAAATTGAAAGTTCACCACTTGCGCTGCCCATACAGATCTCCTTCAAATATCGGCACCGGGCTGGACCGTCGCGGACGGAGTCGAGGTCAATCCCGCCGAGCATCGCGCCGGAGGAGGAGGTCATAATGACGCGTGCGTGGTGGTCAGGCGAGCTCTGCGCGCCGGCGAGGAGCGCGGGCATGAGCAGCTCGGTGAAGAGGAAGTGACCTGGGGAGGGGAGGTGAGCGTGCGGCAGATGAGGAGAGAATACGGACCAATAACGTTGGTGCCGAATTGGAGGTCGAAGCCGTCAGCGGTGAGTTGGTCGATGGGCGGACCCATCACTCCGCTAACGATCATCTCCGTGAGGCAGGGGTCCGGACTCGGAGCACTAAGAATAGATGACCCCGCTCTTCTGCGCGGTCGTCATGGGTACGTGCTGCGTGCTCAGCATGCGTTTGGCGCGTCCGAGAGCTGCAGAGCGCGGGGCGGCGAGGTAGGAGGGCTGAGGCATGGCGAGAAGGCGGTGACGTGGCGGGGAGGGCCCGAGTTTTCGACCAGATGTCCCATTGTCGCGCCAGGATGCCTGGTGACGCTGGGACAGCGGGGCGGACTGGGAAGGTGGTGGCAAATGGACAGACGGCCCCGCTCTTCTGCGGGTCGCCCGTTGTTTGTGCCAAGACCGCGGCACACTTCAGATGTGTGCGAGACGTGTGACGGGCAGCCGGAGGGCGGTAGCAAGCAGGGAGAGAGATGCGGTGGTTGGGAGGGTGGTAGGAAGTGAATGGACGCCCCCGCTGTGATGCGGAGTCGTCTTGTGTGTGAGGTTCGTGCTCGGCATGTGTTCGGTGCGTCCGCAAGGTGTAGAGGGCGGGGTGGCGCGATGGTGGAGAATGATTGATAACGAAGGCGGTGGCGTGGCGGCGGGCATAGAGCACGAGGTGACGAAACCGCTCTTGCGCGGGGTCGTCTGACGTGCGGTATACAACCTCGGAACGCTTTTGGTGCATTCGCGACGAGGTAGGCAGCCCACCTACAGCGCCGCTGTGGGCGCGCAAAACCGGCGTATAGGGGTGCATGTTGGTGAAGCATGGCGGGGGCTTTTTTTGAGTGTGACTCAGCCAGCATCTGCCAGTATGAGCCAGCAGCGGGCAGCAGGCAACAGGCAACAGGTGACTGTACATGAATATGACAGGGCAACGCGGGAGAGTGAGTGGAAAGGGAACTTACTTATTCTGCCTCAGCTCTGCTTCCTCCGAGCGCTGTCCACCCGACGCGCGACACTGTTTGGCATAGAATCTGGCGGGGTTCGCGCTGGCCGGGCCACGTCACAATGACGCGGCCTCTCCCCGCGATGTTCTGCTCATCTGCATGCATTTGGCCGATGCACTGCGATTCTGCGAGCTGCCCGAGGGTTGGTGTATGTGGATGTAAAAGATTGGAGAGGCAGTGAGAAGGGAGGCGAGGGAGGCATGGCGGAGGTGGGAGGCGCAGCCCTCGCAATGGTGTCCGCTCGCTGTGCATCATGGCTGCGGGCAAGCCGGCGCTTATGCACCCTTCCGGACGCCTCGCGCGTCGCGACAGGCTTCTGCAGCCGCTGCGTGTCAGCGACGAACAGCGCGGAGCAACAAGTCAAGAGGTGGGAGAGCTTGAAAGGTGAGTAACGAGACAGAGAGGCGAGGGAACGATGACGTGGCGAGGTGCCAGCGTGGCGCAGTTTAGGGCAGGCACCTAGTGGACTTGGGGAGATTCAGTGTGGGTGGCTTGAGGTTGCGCCTGAAGGGTCTGACGGGTCTGAGTGGACTGCGTCGCTCTGAGAGAACGAGCACAGAACGAGCAGACGGAGAGGGACGAACGGCGCGGTCATAGACGCCCGATTGCGTCAGATGCGATAGAGCTCTCAGGCACCGGATCAGACGCCTCAGATCCCTCAGGCGCCCTCAGAACCCGTGCACATTTGCTGATGTATAACCTGCTGTAAACTGCCGTCGAGTATAATGCTACTACACTAATATACATTGCACTACTACTACGCCTCCCGGCCTCCCGCCCGCTCGTCCTCATCCGTTCGCCCCCCATTCACTACCTGCGAGACGCTCGTCGGCTGCATTTGCATGCGGGGCACTGGCCCTACGCGCTCGCAGTCGGCGTGTGTTGTACACGTCCTGTCCACCGTCACCGTCTCCTGTGTGTCGCTCGCGCGCACGGCTCGTTCGTCGACCGCGCTTGCGTGCTGGGCATTTGCCCTGCGCGCTCGTGGTTGCCGTGCGTGCATCGCCGCCCAGTTGTGGTCCCGCCCGGTTGTGGTCCCGCCCGGTTGTGGTCCCGCCCAGTTGTGTACACGCCTGCCCACCCGATTGTGTGCCTCCTCGGCCTCCCTTCCACTTACCTGTGTGCGCGTTCGTCGACCGCGTCTGTGCACTGGACATTCGTCCTCCGCGCTCGCAGTTGGCGTGTGTTGCGCACGCCTCGGCCCTGTCCACGTCGCTGTCTTCCGTCTTTTGCTGATCCCCGCGTGATCCATTCATTGGCCGTGCTTGCATGCTGGGCATTGGCCCTGCATGCTCGCGGTCGCCCTGTGCGTCGGCCCGTCTGCGCGCCGCTTGTTCGTCGGTCGTGCCTACACGCAGGGCATTGGCCCTGCGTGCTCGCCGTCGTCGTGCACGTCGCGCTGCACGTCGCCGCGTCCTGTGCTCGCTGTTAGCGAGCCCTTTCGCATGTGGCTGGACTCACCTGGCTCTGGCCCTCAACCTCGCCCTCGACCTCGCCCTCGCCCATCCCCGCCAGCCGTTCATTCGTCCCTGCCGTCCGCTCGTCGTTCATGCTTGCCGTGTATTCGTCGTCCACACCTGTCGTGAGTTCGTCGCTGCGCCCAGGCCCGCGGTGTCTTCGTTGGCTAGGTTTGCATGCGGGGCCTTTGCCGTGGGTGCTCGCCGCACGCGTGTGCGCCGTGTTGCTGTGCCTGAGGCCGTTCGCGAGTCGACCTGGCGGATGGAGGGGGGCATGCCTCAGATTCCCTGCGAGTTTGGACGCTCGCGGGGTTGCCTCTTTTGGCAATACCCGTACGAGGGTGCATTTGGCGGACAACGGGCGTGCAGGATTGCGCCGGAGTCCCGCAGCGTCTGTTTGCATTGCCAGACCTAGAACAGCGTACTCGAGAGCATCATGCAGCAGCGACAATGGGTCGAGCGCCAGGCTCTGCCAGCAGTTTTGCAGCGACGTGTCGTAGTTCTGTTTGACTCGGACTAGATCTACATGCCAACCCAAGGGTCAGCAGATAGCTGACTAGTACAGGAAGGCATTGTACCCCACGGGCCGCGCGAAGTTGCCGTTCGCACAACCCGGACTCACCCTCAGGCTCACCCTCGCTCGCCCGTGCGGCACATGCCATCGGCTGTGGCACTACAGCCCATCCACCCCGTCGCGGGTCATGATCCTACGTCTGAAAACAAAGGAGAGCTGGCGTGACACTCTTTGTAATGTACTACTCACTCACACACTCCTGGCCGCCTGCAGCCCACCCGCCCACTCGCCCTGCGTGCGTTTGATACGATTAGAGTGATTCAAAAAGTCGGAAGGGAGTGCGTGCCTATGCACGTTGTGGAATAAGATATTGGCGGATGTCGACGTGGCGGTGTGAAGCGAAGGCCGTCTGCAGTCGGAAAGACTTAGAGTCTCTCGAGTCTGCATGGCATCATCGGAGGTCGGGCGTGCAAGTCACGGGGTTGGGAGGTGGATGGCTCAAGGAACTGGGCGGGGCGCGGAAGGCTAACGTGGACGCGTTAACGCACAAGTGAAGAGTGTTAGCGAAGCTAAAGAGACTTACGCGTACGGCTTACGATCGAGGCGTTCATGTTAACGAGATGCGGGGTGGCATTAAAGCACTAAGGCGGACGGCCATAGCGCGTAAGCGAGCTAAGATCGTGTCTAAAGTTACAAAACACCATTGAGAGACGCCAAAAGAACCAATGCGGCAGGTGGGGGCAGCTCGGAGCAGGTGGAACACGTCAAATGGCTGTCAAGGCCTGCTCCAGGCAGGCCCTGGCTTAGTTTGGGCAGGTCCGATTTTCACTGTGGTTCAGCGCTCGCTCAGTTGTCTGCCGCGAGCGACTCTCTGCAGCCACACCCAATTTGCCTGCTACAGTCATCTACTAGACCAATTTGGGATTGTTTGATCAACGGCTTCACTGCTCCTGGGGACACCTGCCTAATTAGGGTACTCTCTCTTCACATGTTCGGGGAGGCACCCTGGAGGCACCTGAAAATCTGCATATACTCATCATCTCAGGCAGCCAGTTCATGTCAGAGACCTTTTGGAAAATTCATCCTTGATCTGTGAGCCTCATCCAGGATGACATTATTTTGTTGCAGGATGTTGAAGCATGAGTGTTAGTAAGCATGATCCCACAAATGCAGTACCACAATGTTGGATCTTGCTATTTTCTGGCTTCCTTGACATACAGCATAGGTTGCTGGGGAGTGGGCCATACCTGAGCATATGATCCCAGTTGTGACATCTGGGTCTTTGTCTTCTAAAGGCCCATTGATACAGTTCCTGAACATCACTCAACAAAGATGTGAACCTTGCACAAGACAATTTCAAAAAATCAGAATGTATCAAGGTAGCAATAGAGATGTTGACATTTATGTAGCTCAGCTCATCATCCTTATTGTGGCAATACAAGAGGATTGATCCTGAATTGTGAGCATACTAGGGAATTCATAATGTACATACAGCAGATATTACCCCTACAGAGATATGTCAATATTGCTGAATGACCAATAGCCAATAATTTGTCAAGTGGCACAGTTGCACACTAGTGCTTGACCAACTGTGGCTTAGCTGTCCTGATTAGTGATGTCTGACATTTTCTGCTGGCTCAAATCACCAAATAGAGATATCACTTGCACATTGGAAGACTTGCACATCAGGGAATCTGTATAGGTAGTGCTTACCTAGAGAATTGACAGTGATCAACATCAATTGCCTTCATTGAATATCTCAACTGAGTGGATTGTATACTTGACAATGTCACAGTTTTTCAGTCAACTTAATATCTATGCTGAAGTTGGTGCACTCATGTGAGCTCTTTATCAATTGTGTCTCATTCTGTGGAGAAATGAAAGTGCAGCCTTTGTAAGCCTTTATCTTGTGGTTGGCATAAATTGCATTGCAAGTATGATTTCTATACAACACAGATATAGAATACTTGAAAACCATCATATGTGGGGATTCATGACTGAATCAAAACCAATAGTTGTGAGATCTACAATATTGGACATTATATGGCACTACAGTGGAGTGACTAAGATCAGTGGCTGGCCTTTATTCTGATTTTGAGTGGTTCAGCTTGCCAAATGACCCATCCTACCTCTGTTTGGTGGGCATCAATGTTGGTACCTCAATTTATACTCAGGACCACTAATTGCCAACACAGTATTACCAAAGATTCCTAGTCTTTGTCTATAAGTATTCTATTCAACTATAAGCTTGTCTTACTAACATCTACATAAGGCTTAAAAGATGCTTGCAGAGTCAGCTGCTATACAACAGAGCCAGTTGTCACCAGATGGATTCAATGTGTGCATGGTGAGGGTGGAGGTTTTTGTAAGTCATATTGTGGCTCTGGCTTGTGCATATACTAATGTGTGTTCTTGCAGGTGGGTGACCCAGCTGCTGTCATGATTAAGTTGTATGACCAAGCAGTTAACCACCATCCTGAGTGGCAAATTACCTTGGCATGTGTAATTCTGGATGATGTCCCATTCCAAAGTTCAATTTGCATGTTCAAGTTGTCTGTGCTCTCGAGGTGCATCTGCTATATAGAGGTGCAAAATCCCAAGGAAATCCAGGACACACTCCAATATGCATCTCAGCAAAGATATCAATACCACATGCAGATAGTCAACAAGCATGACTACTGTACACTCTTCCAGTGCGCACTGGTGAGAGTGTCCACTCAGTCATTGGTGTTGTTCAAGCATGGTCTGTACAAAGGTGACACCACCTATGTAGAGTCTGTCAGCAACAACAACAGCACAGTGATTGTCTGGTGCATCCCCAGGATCAATCTGTGTCCCAAGATGGTCAGGGAACAAGCAAAGAAGATGATCTTCTTGATGCAATCCCCAGCCACAATGCAATCCCCAGCTGTGAAGCAATCCACAGAGATACAGACAGTGTCCTCCATACAACCTCCACAAATTCAGTGGCTGCCATCGGTGCAACCCCCACCCATCCTGTTCCATAGTGAAGACGTGATTGACTTCTATGGCAAAGCAGCAGTTCAAGTCAAACACAACACTTTCAAGTTTCATGGCACACACTTCATTGGCAGTTTACTATGGAAGTCTGTCAAAATAAGCCACTTGTCCCCTCAGTACAGCTTCACCTACAAGCTGTATAGTGCCTTCAATGGTGCACCACAGATTCTGTGTGCCATTATAGAGAGACTTGCTGGGGAGTGGGTCATGTATGGCAGTACAATCCCAGTTGTATTGTCTGTGTCTTTGGTCTTCTAAGAAACTCATTAATCCACTCCTTGAATCTTACTTGATTGTATGTATTGACATATACTCATCTGAGAGACGACCTGCCTTCCAAGATTTACCAGAACAAGCAGTGATCAAACTGTGACAATAAAAATAACCTTGCACCAGCCAAATTAAATTTATAGGGAGTATCATGATTGTCATGGTGCTCAGCTCACCATCCTCATTGCAGTGACACAAGACACAAGAACATTGAATCCTGAATATTGAGTATCCTAGAGAATCCATAATGTGCATATTGCCACACAGCCATTACTCAATGATATGTGTGGTTGCAGACTTGTTCTTGCCCAACTGTAAATAAGACTTGCTGGGGAGAGGGCCATGGCTGGCAGTACGATCCCATTGGTTTAGACACATTGAGGTGTGAAGAATTCAGTATTTCCCATTTTCACTGTCTAGTTGCTGCCTGGCAGCCCAAATACTCTATGCATCCTGGTTATCTACATTGTTGATTTCAGTGCTCCATCATGAGCAATATTACAATTGAGCAAGTAAGCCACCATGTGTTGTGTGTCATTGCTATATTCATAGGAAACTGTCTGTGAAGAGCACATACTTACACTGAGACTTGCACATGGAATCATTATTGCCTCTGCTCAATATTCCAGTAATGCCTACTCAATGGTCATGGTATCCAGTCATAAGTCCCATGAACACAAAGGTTTTCAACCTTTGTGAGATAACTTTTGGTTCATCTGCTGGCTGACACTTACTTCTTTTGTATGCATGCACAATTCACCACCATATTGCTCTTGATCAACCACCCTCTCAATATATACAGATTCTCTACTGTTTATTTGGAATGGCAGGTACTCCACCAGATATTACCACAATGCACCATGTGTAATGATACCTGCTTCTTGGACCCTCCCATGATATATACAACACTGTTAAAATGGCACACATGTTCACTCCTGGGTCTATGGTGTTATTGTGTGACTTTCCATATACCATCAAAGGATCCAGCATGAGTAGCTGACATTTTATGCTAACATGTGAAGGGAAATGTTGCTGCCAATGAGAGTGATCCAAAGTCACTTATTATTGACTCGAGATCTAGAAAAGGACAGTCAGATATTTGCCTAGAAGTCCACTATAAGTATGGTCTGTTGCTGGTTGCCTAGTGGCAGTCTGAGTGACAGTAGACATTGTACAAATAGACATCATCAATACATGGTACAATCATTCCCTGCCAATTATATCACCCAAGGCTCATTGCGTAACTTGAACAATAGGACCTGGTAACACATCAGCCTATAATATGATGGTAGAGGTTAGATATGCTCCAAGCAATTATCATATGAGGGAATAGAGTTGATGTCATCTCATTCTCCACCATTTGTCCAGCACTGCAGCAACTATGAAGGGCTGGGATGTATGGTAAGTCTGCATGTCTAGTTTCTCACCTCATGACACTGGTAGTGTATACAGTTCTCTAGTAAGAGTAGCAAGTGCACAGTACTGTGTCTCTGTGTCACTTCTAGGATCAGTACAGTGTGAACAAATTCTGGAACCCATATTTGTGATGGCTATGCCATTATACAAGGGACATGCAAGGCAAAGCCAATGTTATGAGTGTTTCCAGCATTGAATGGTACCTTTGTGCTGCAGGTATTCATTGTTGAGTGATCATGGTCCACATAAGGGGCTGAGAAGCCAATTACTAGTTACAGCAAGTAGTACAAGGTGGGAATCATACATAACATTTCCTTGTTTTGTCTGCATTTTCTGAGCCCAGACTCAACAACTAATTCAAACTTTCCAGGTCAGCTACTACATAGTATTCACACAATTCATAGGTAATTGGTAAGCATCACAGACAACACAAACAATGTA